CATGTACAAGGGCAAGCAAATCCTAAAGTGACCACCAAACCCCATGTGGTCACATAAATAAATCATTGCATGGCCAAATACACCTTTGTTAGATTATTGGCCATTATAATACCCAGTATATTCGACTATCTATATGACTGGTGGTCACTTTGGCATTCATCATTCGGTTGACTGCGTAAGGTGGTCTTCAGGTCAGACTAAAGTCCCATCGCTTTCCATTCTCTCTGGCTATTCGGACATACTAATGACTTTCACTACCTAACGGAAGTATGTGGACGTTATGGTTACCTATAAAATCATCCATGCTTTAAGGAGGTTAGTACTAAAGCAACACTCATGCCAGTCGTTGCTGCACTAGGTATAATATCGATGTTGGAGAACACAAAATATTAAAAATCTAGTATGTTTCCATTAATTTAAAATATATGGGCGAAGTTAATTTGCTTATGAAACAATTTCGGGTAAATTGGTGTGAAAGAATTGAATCCACGGCTCTCATTTACAAGGGATGTTTAAACACTCAGTATTTATTTTACTTAGTTTTGGTTTAGAGCCACTTAAATGACCATTGAGTATTGGTCAAGTGAACAGTAGCCCATAATTTTATGTGAATTCACCTCCAACAATGGCTCCCTATGACCATACCCTACGAGTAAAATAACAGTAACCGATGCAGTGTCGGCTGTGGTTCACCCAAATACGTTTCGTCACAAATTGCATCCGCGAAACATTAACTTCTTCATTAGATTATTGAGCACAGATATGTAGCGTCAGACAGACTGAAGTAGCACCTCCTGCCTTACACTCATTGTCGTGTAGAAGACTTCATAAGAGAGGGTTTGTTGTGGAAAGTCTTTTGCAGTTAATACAGCGTGCAGGGATGGTTGCTGATATTACACGTGCGTCTTTCTAACACGCAAATCGTATAGATAGACTTCCTCTCAAATGTAAGGATGACTTAAAAATAGTGGTATGAATTACGTCCATATTTGAGCATTGCATTATATTCTGTCCTCAGTGACAGAAATAAACTTGTAAGCTGAGATTCCTGCAGGCAGCATGGATTCGCGTAGTGGTCGTCTCTACCTCGCTGCTCCCTTAATTGTCCCATGCAGGATAAATCTCCAGGCAAAGTTGTAATGACAAGGGAATTTAGTGACCCTGCGATCATTTACCTCATAAAATAGAATTTGACAGATAAAAAGGCTAACTTTATTGTAAATCCTCCAAGCGATGCTTGAATTCGAGTGTACGGCTAAGCGTGTCAGCATCCGTATGTCTGGTGGTGACTTTGACATTTATTATATT